CATCCAGGGATGACCCTCCATTACTCTTGGGTAGATCTGTGGGTGTTTCTTTATATATATATATAGTAGAAATGTGGGAAAGAACCACGTGTTCCAAGTGTAATCCTGCCCACCAGAACAGATGAACCCAGGAACTTTGTAGAAGGTTGGCCCTGCACTGAAAATTCCAGTTCCTCCAATCTTCGACGGAGGTGTGGAAATTCGGCCCACCCCACAGCCAATCGAGTATAACTCTTTGTAAGACTATGCAATACCTGGTGCCAACTGTCGTTGGGTGCCCCAGAGGCACCAAAACCACCAGGTATTGGCACCTCTGAGTGACCGTTCATCAGTTCCTAAGGCGATTGATTGACTTGGAAACACAGGAGGCACACACACACACTCATATATATATATATAATATATAAATATATGTATATATATATACATATATATATATAACCGATTTAAAATGATGATTAAAACATAGCAGCTATATATATATATTTATATATATATATTTATTTATAATATTTATGGTTAAAGATGTCAATAGATACATATATATACAGCCGACAACCGGGATTTCTACCTGGTGAACAAATATATATATGTATATACATTTAATGAGCTCCAGACGCAGAAAGATTCGGTAGATAGATAGATATATATATATATATACAAAATACTAAATCCTAACAGTGTCGCAATTGTTTTCTTCTGACCACTTCTCTTGGATTTTGAGGAATGATTTGGACATGTGTGCAGCAGCCTGATCATAGAAACACAAGGCACGGTCTTGCATGGTTAGGTTCAATTGTCTTTGGCGGTGTCGCAACTCCTGCAACATCAACAGCAGGGGTCGTGATTGGGAAATGGTGTTCTAAGTGTGAATCCTGTATAGGGACAATTGTACATAATGTCTTCATGTACACTATATATATATGTGTGTGTAAGTGCTAGGGACCTTTGGCCGGCTCACGATTATATATATATAAAGGAGTTGTTTACCAAGAGTGTCTCACTAAAAGTGTCTTACTAAGAGTGTCTTACAATATTGTTCAGTGTTTGTTGTTCGAACAATCCATTGGATGGGTGCATATTTAGAGAGAGAAAGAGATGACTGCGCAAAAAAATGATGTTCTAAGTGTGGGTCACTGCAAGTGTTCCAGTGCAAACAAAATGATAAGGGGAGATCAGGTTCTGTCTGAGTACTTTTGATGTTCTAAGTGTATGTCCACAAGTATAATATACTTTCTTATTGGTATATATATATGATATATAGCCCAGTGATTCCTCCCTGTCCCCCAAATCTCCTGCGACAAATGTGATAAATACCTCACCAGGGTATTCTCGTTCCAGATGTGTGATTTCGACTGTTGTTGATCAATGACCAGCCATCGCCTGAGCTCTTCGTTGAGAGCATTGCGTTTCTCCTCTGGTAGCGATCCCTCCCGCAGAGTCACATGTAGTCGTCCGCAATAGCCATCAGCAAATGAAAGGGTGGTAACCGTTCTTGGCACCCTCCATTCATCTATCATTCCACAAGCTGCCTTCCCTCCCAGTACTGTCGGGGGTTTTGGGGCAAGAATTCTGGGTGGCTCTCTTGGGTTTGGCTCACTAAATGGTAGGTCCAAACATTGCTGCAAAGAATGGCGTATCTTTCTCATGTACATGGACCGAGTTAATGGGTCCTTTTGCACCCCAGCCATCTTCGAATCCTTCATATAGGATTTTTTCCGAGGTCTGAATCGCAATGACCAGACCTGGTCAAAGTTCATGACCAATTGGGGATGCACATGTTTTGATTCTATCAAGGCACGGATCTGTGATCTCACTGCTTCTAAAGCCGGAGAATCGTAGGCCAAGTGCGCTCCAGGCTTTTCGATGGACTTCAAACGAAGTCCATACATGTTGCAAATCCTGTGTGCCTGCTTCCTGAGCAGAAATGGGTTGGTGGTCATCACTTAGAACACATATGCCGATCGTTCAATCTATATATATATAGGTATATGATCAAACAATGGCTAAGGATGGCTAAGGCTATTTTCTTGTGATGGGGCAATTATGTCCACATAAACTTATAAAACCATGGTGGGCCAAGAACTGATTATTTATCCCTGGGTTTATTGGTACACGCAAAGTCCAAAATATACAGTACTCATTGTGGTCCCTCGCATGTATATATATATATACATTCCCCCTGCAGAACATGGAAATCCTGTTTTCCCGAATGTGTTCTAAGTGTATGTCCTGAACTGTATATAGCAAATATAGCAGATATGTGTATATATATATATATATATGTACCTCTTTTTGGTTATATCCAAATGCATTTGTATATATTAACAACTATATGGGAAACAGGCACCTGTTTTGTTGGTGGTTGGTTCCAAAACAACCAGAACAAAGTGATTGTCCCCAGACAAGGTTCGTCAGGGCATCATCGGACTTTGCCAATTGGATAGGCACCAAAATTTCATCAGCACGTTTGGTGAGAGAAGAAAAAAGCTCATCCAACTGTTTGTTGGACATTTTGGACAACTTTTCATCCTCATCTTTCAGCATGTCCAAGTTTTTGTTCCTAATCAGCTCACGAATGGAAAGCACGCAGTCATTCCAGACCGAAACCAAGAAAAGGATTGTGTTTTTGACAAATGCCACACCAACTTCTTCACCCTGGTCAATTCTTTCCATTACCAGCTCCTCCACGGCACCCTTCAAGACACCCGGCAACATTGTCCTCGTCTCTGAGTGTGCATGCATATTCCCATGCTTGAGTGTGGGAAAATTGATGACCAAGCGTAGGCTATTGGGCAGCTCCTTTTTGGCCTTGCAAAGCGCTGGAGCAGTCATGCAAAGTAAACCCCATTTTTGTTCCTGGCGGGCTTTTCCCCACTTGCTAGGTAGGGCGCATCCTCTGTAATAGCCATGCATGTTCAACTTTTTCAGGTCTTTGTCAGGATACTTTGAACCTTTCTCAACAATATCATCATAGGCTTTGCAAATAGCCTCACGTTGAAAAATGGAGACCATCGCGCTCTTTCCTGTTGCCTTTGTGTTTCCTGGTCCAGACCCATGTTTTTTCTTTGCTGGTGGAATCGACAACAGTGTCTGTTTCCCACGAACACGTTTTTTTGGAACTGGTAACTCTACCGACTTCTCCTTTTTCTTTGGGCTATCCTGTTTGCGTTTCCTGCCCCTGGCTGATGGGACTGGCTCAGTCACTTCTTGATCACCTTCAGTAGAAGCTACCACCTGGTGACCCCCACTATGCGGTCTTGACCCAGCTGCAGCTGCTGCTATTGGTGACACATCCGCGCCAGATGCTGAAGGGCTTGCGGCAGCAATATCTCCACGTTGGATGTGTAGAAAAGCACCTGAAGATGCCAAGGCAGCTAAGACAACAGCTTGGACCACCGTGCCCGTCATCCCATTGCCACATAGATCTTGTGCCCAGGAACTTGTAGCCATAGCCTTGAAAGCCTCTGGGTTTCTAGCATCATTTTCCCAGATTGCTTGTAGGCCTAGCATTTCCACTGGCTTGACATACCTCTTCAAAAAGGTTGAATAGATTGAATGAGATGGCGTGATGCACGTTGAGCAATCCACACATGCCTCCGGCATCTCCCTCCTCTGAAGAGACGAACTCATGTCGACAAACAGATTGTGGCTGCCGACTCCTTCCTTAGATACCATCAATATTTGTAACCCATATATATATATATAACCCAAATCAATGAGAAGGATCAATGTGTTCTAAGTGTATTCCCCTGCAAACATAGAGGTGAACCACTCACACCAATGGAATCCCATCACTTGGTTATATAATGGTGCATATATCTGTGTATATAAAATTATAAATATATATATATAACCCAAATCAATGAGAAGGATCAATGTGTTCTAAGTGTATTCCCCTGCAAGCATAGAGGTGAACCACTCACACCAATGGAATCCCATCACTTGGTTATATAATGGTGCATATATCTGTGTATATATATATATATCAATATAAACTATATATCTATATATATATATAGCAAAAGATACAGGAAAATCTGGGAAGGAACCATGTGTTCTAAGTGTAACGTCCTGCACTGGTAACCATTCACAAAATGGAAATCATATGGTGCTAAGCAAAATAACCAAGTTTCCCCTTTGAATTTCTCCACTGCCTTCTCAAGAAGCTCCCGCTCCCGATCAGTCTTGGGATCCTCTTTAGGATATCGACCAAATGTATCCCGCATAGAGAAGTGGCAGTGGGTTTGTAGAGATGAAATTGCACGTTTGTACAAAGTTTGGAATTCAGCCTCGCTTTGTTGCCCTGAATTTACTGCTGCCACTCCCCAAACCCGATTGCGTCGATGCCGCACTAGGAAGTCCTGTGAATCAAGCAGCGACCATACCTGAGTCACAGCGGAAGTGTTTTCAACACATATTTGTCATACAATGATACAAATATATATATATATATATCGGTATGTGTGTGTGTGCACGGCACTTAACATTATATAATTTATATCAAATATATATATATATACAGATGCCTTTTTGTATATATATATACCATGGTGGCTCCCCAAACCCGATTGCGTCGATGCCGCACTAGGAAGTCCTGTGAATCAAGCAGCGACCATACCTGAGTCACAGCGGAAGTGTTTTCAACACATATTTGTCATACAATGATACAAATGTATATATATATATATCGGTATGTGTGTGTGTGCACGGCACTTAACATTATATAATTTATATCAAATATATATATATACAGATGCCTTTGTATATATATATACCATGGTGGCTGCACCACGTGAGCAAACTCATACATGTATTTAGTGATGGAGACGATGACGACGACAATGATGATAATGATGATGACCCCGATGATGGTGGAAAACACATCATCAGTCCAGGTGCGAAATGGTAGCCATTTTCATTGGCATCCTTCTCAACAGTTTGAATGGCAGGTGGATGCTTCCTTCCATTTGCATCTGTGTTTCGCTCCATTGCGCCCTTCACATTCTCATAGATGGACATGATGGGGCACAAAAGCTCAACAACCTTGGATATGGTTACCCCACTGTTTGGTTCTGATGAGCGGAAAATGAACACTTTCTTCCAGTATCCCCATAGATAGGTGGCTATTGTCCTTGTATATTCCACACTTAGAACACTTGTACATACAAAGGGCAATGATATTATCTATATATTTATTGATCATGCATTTATATATATATATATACAATAACAGGTATACATGCATATATAAATAAAAATACATCAGTTGTCCTTATCTATTCCACACTTAGAACACATGTTTCATACAAACAACGCTATCTACTAAACATAACATATATATATAATATATATATATATATGTCAAACATTTGGTAGCCTCAAAGGGGAACACTCCTTGAATACCGATTTGTTTTTTAAAAGCTAAAGGTGCACACATTTATATAAATGAAAAAGCAATACCACCTTGGTGGGTGGAGGCTCCCAAAATGAACCCATCTCCCGCTGGATATAGGTGCTAAGGCACTCCCTTCCAGCCGTGCTTGTAAGTGTGTGTGCAGATGTTCCGAAACCTTCTCCAGACTGGTAGCTACCTGCAAAGTCTTTGCGCTTCGCATTCAAAAGACCTCAGGCGGTTGCTGAGGATGGTTTGTACTTACAACACTGAGGAGGAAACAAGTACATATACATTAATGTATAAATATAGATAGATAGATAGATAGATAGGTAGATAGATAGATAGATAAGTAGATAGATAGATAGATAGATAGATAGATAGATAGATAGATAGATAGATAGATAGGTAGATAGATAGATAGATAGATGTTTTTAATGTATGTCCAAGACTCTCTATATATATATATACCTTTATATATATGTATACATATGTATATACATATACATGCAGATCTACATACCTACAAACATACAAGGACGGATGCTTGAGAACTTATATATGAAGAGAGAGAGAGAGAGAATGAAAGAAACAAACAAAGAACGAACGAAAGAAAGAGAGAAACATAGTTTTTCATGCAAGGAACTAATGTCCTTGCAACTGGTTCCTGCCAGGAAAATGTCGACAGACATATTTCCTTCATTGATTTCGTGAACACAATTGCACCGGTAGCAGTGCCCTCTCTGGTTGCTGAATGCGATGACATCGCCATACACGTGATCAGCCTGATGACAATCCAAAATGTACTGACGTTTCTTCGGGTCAAGCTCTGCTGAGAAGACGTGTTTGACACCAATGTTGACCTGGAAAGCACCAGCAGGAAGACTGTCTTTCCCCTATATATTACCTCACTTAGAACACTTCACTCACCCAAGAAGAATGAACAAAATGGGATCCCCGATGTATAAATCAACAATTTTCGTTTTCCAAATAGTGTTCTAAGTGTAGGTGTAGGTCCCTAACTATATATATATACCATATGCTATGTATATTGTATATATATATATGGATTTTTTGGACATATAACATATATAATTGCGATCAAGAAACACCAAACTCAGCATTGATGGCTTCCATCAAACCATGAATGGCCACAATGCAAATGTCGCTCCCGGAACATGTGGTACCAATCCTTAAATCAGTTCCATCCAGTTCTAGAGCCACACGTTTGAGGTGCTGGTATTGAGAGATGCTCAGCAAACGCACGAACCAAGCTGATGTTGCATACAAGGACGGCATAGGAGTCTCCATTCCCGCAGAACCTTGCATGAGCTGTCTCTTGGGAACCTGAAAGTGCCTGTTCCGATACTTTGCCTGGAGAAACCGAATCGGCTTGGGTTCATCCCATGCCTGCACTGTGCTGATCTTCCATATGAAAACTTCTTTCTCATTCCTGACCTTATCAGACCAGAATTTGACCTCCATAGGGTTGTTCTCATAGTCTTTGACAGTGCGACTAGAGGTCACAGCTTCTACTTCGCGAACCGTCATCTTCCCAACATAGGAAGTGAAGCTGCCATCCCCACGGGAAAGCACATGAAGTTGTAGTGGGGCGGTCCGCAAGGAGTAGGTACGAAAAATTGTTGTACTTTGGCCAGCTACCAATTTTTCCCAGGTGCTCTCTAGCAGTATGATGCAATTCACTTTTTTGTCTAAGTTCTCTGGGCTAGATGTGGTAGTTGAAGCTGGTGACTTGTTGTGTTGGCTGTGTGGTCTCAACTTTGCCAGTTTCCACGGTCTTGGTGATTCACGGACGTCTGAATCCAGGCTGTGCTTTGCATATTGCTGCTGCTGCGGCTGCTGCTTCTGCTGCCGTGTTGTTGCTATCCTCTGAAATCTGCGTGTGAGATTTTGGTCCAACTGTGAATCTTTGTCATTCTTTCCTGCACATGTACTTTCTGCATCCAGTAGGTCCCCAAACAAGCACACATCTTCCACATGTGGTGTTGGTGATTCTGCCTTTCCTTGAAACAGAGCGCTGATTTCAGGCTCGGGTGGTGCTGACACAGCCTTCCATTCAGCATGTTGATTTCTGCTGCCCTTCCTTCTCGGTAGACATTTGCTGCTGCTGGTAAGCTTTGATGGCTGCGATGTCTCTGGGCTGGATAAAACTTCTTCTTTCACTTCAACTTTCACATGTTGTGACGGCTCTGGGCTGGAAAAAATCTCTTGTTTCACTTCAACTCCAGCATTCGCACCAGGGGGAATCACTTTGATTGAATATTCCGGCCACAGGCGCCTCTTGGCTCGAGCCTGGGTTGGATTTGGTGGCTGCTTCTGATCCTGTTGATTGTTGCTGATTTCTGCTGCTGGTCGTTTTCTTGCTGCTGCTGGCTGCTGTTGCTCTTGCTCTTGCTTCTTTGGCTCTTGTCGAGGAGATGTTGGGGCTGCTGTCTCTGTGTGATTCTTCTGTCGAGTTGGCTGAACTGGCTGCTGCTGGCTCTGGGACTGTTCTAAGCGTGTGGTGCTGCAAGCTAGTTCTGGCTTGTCTGGATGCTTGTCATCTCCTGGATTGATGTTGCTTTTTGCTGTTTGTTCAACTGCTGGCTGCTGTTGATCTTGCTCTTGCTTCTTTGGCTCTTGTCGAGGAGATGTTGGGGCTGCTGTCTCTGTGTGTTTCTCCTGTGGAGTTGGCTGAACTGGCTGCTGCTGGCTCTGGGACTGTTCTAAGCGTGCGATGCTGCAAGCTAGTTCTGGCTTGTCTGGATGCTTGTCATCTCCTGGATTGATGTTGCCTTTTGTTGTTTGTTCAACTGCTGGCTGCTGTTGATCTTGCTCTTGCTTCTTTGGCTCTTGTCGAGGGGATGTTGGGGCTGCTGTCTCTGCGTGTTTCTCATGTGGAGTTGGCTGAACTGGCTGCTTCTGGCTCTGGGACTGTTCTAAGTGTGCGGTCCTGCAGGCTAGTTCTGGCTTGTCTTGATGCTTCTCATCTCCTGGATTGATGTTGCCTTTTGCTGTTTGTTCAACTGCTGTCTGCTGTTGATCTTGCTCTTGCTTCTTTGGCTCTTGTCGAGGAGATGTTGGGGCTGCTGTCTCTGCGTGTTTCTCCTGTGGAGTTGGCTGAACTGGCTGCTGCTGGCTCTGGGACTGTTCTAAGTGTGCGGTCCTGCAAGCAAGTTCTGGCTTGTCTGGATGCTTGTCATCTCCTGGATTGATGTTGCCTTTTGCTGTTTGTTCAACTGCTGGCTGCTGTTGATCTTGCTCTTGCTTCTTTGGCTCTTGTCGAGGAGATGTTGGGGCTGCTGTCTCTGCGTGTTTCTCCTGTGGAGTTGGCTGAACTGGCTGCTGCTGGCTCTGGGACTGTTCTAAGTGTGCGGTGCTGCAAGCTAGTTCTGGCTTGTCTGGATGCTTGTCATCTCCTGGATTGATGTTGCTTTTTGTTGTTTGTTTAACTGCTGGCTGCTGTTGATCTTGCTCTTGCTTCTTTGGCTCTTGTCGAGGAGATGTTGGGGCTGCTGTCTCTGTGTGTTTCTCCTGTGGAGTTGGCTGAACTGGCTGATGCTGGCTCTGGAACTGTTCTAAGTGTGCGGTGCTGCAAGCTAGTTCTGGCTTGTCTGGATGCTTGTCATCTCCTGGATTGATGTTGCTTTTTGCTGTTTGTTCAACTGCTGGCTGCTGTTGATCTTGCTCTTGCTTCTTTGGCTCTTGTCGAGGAGATGTTGGGGCTGCTGTCTCTGCGTGTTTCTCCTGTGGAGTTGGCTGAACTGGCTGCTGCTGGCTCTGGGACTGTTCTAAGTGTGCGGTGCTGCAAGCTAGTTCTGGCTTGTCTGGATGCTTGTCATCTCCTGGATTGATGTTGCTTTTTGCTGTTTGTTCAACTGCTGGCTGCTGTTGATCTTGCTCTTGCTTCTTTGGCTCTTGTCGAGGAGATGTTGGGGCTGCTGTCTCTGCGTGTTTCTCCTGTGGAGTTGGCTGAACTGGCTGCTGCTGGCTCTGGGACTGTTCTAAGTGTGCGGTCCTGCAAGCAAGTTCTGGCTCTGCAGGCAGCTTGTGATTTTCATCGTGGTTGTTCTTTGGGCTGTGTCCTGCACTTGCTTGTTCGTCTGTGATGGCTGCTTGCACTGTTGTAGGATCGTCATTTGCCATAAAGGATAGAAGCTTTTGACTCTCTTCTGCAACCTTCATACCAACCTATGGCAGGCGGTTGGGTAGAACTAGGTGCATATATCCGATGCTTCATGGTATGTCTATATATATATATATATGAAACAAAAACTATATATATACACAAAACATTGAGTAGGGTGCTGGACCAGGAAACATATTCATCCAGCTGTAGGCCATCACCACCTTTGGAATGGCTTGGGATGAGCAAAGTGAAATGCCCGAAGTCATGGCTTCCTGCCACAGCCTTGTCAAATGAGAACAGCATGTGAACATTAGGCTCTCCGCATCCATAGATTGTGTCCAACTGTGTCCCATCATAGAGGCCAACCTGCGTGTGTGGAAGGGCATCAATAGGAACAATTTCAAGATCCAGAAAAATCTATATATATATATGATAAATATGTATGTTTATATATATATACATAATTATTTGACACATAATGGATCAGTATGGATCATACATATATATATATATATATATATATTATCTTAATTTGTTATTTATATATAAACATATACGTATGAACACAATGGAGCATGTTTATCTTATGGTGTTCTAAGTGATCCACCCCCCAAGGAATTTGGCAACTCCTAGCCTTGGGATCGCATGTGCAGCGAATTGCGATGGACAATGTGTAGGCTATCCATTCCAAATTGGCAGGTGAAAAGTTTGGATGTGCCAACACATCCCGGATAGCTCCATGATAAGACTCATTGCAAACAGTCAGGGCTTTCTCACACACATCTCTATGCAGAGTCTTGGCATTGTTCAATTCCTGTTGGTGTATCTGACGATTGATGGGGAAAGACCCTTCACTACGTGGTATCTTCTCCCACGCACTTGGATCCTGGGCTGCCAAGAGGCAGTACCAACCGCAAAGCCCATCCGCGGGCACCCGGACTTTTCTGTAGAAGACTTTTCGGGCCTGGAATTGGTGCTTCTTCTTTTCATTCATCTCCATGAGGCTTTTGATCAAAGCTGAGCATATCTTGGAAGTTGCATGCTGTATGTGTCCAACCCCAAGATCTTGGAGCCAGCAAATGCTGTACAACAATCGTTTCTTCACATCGTGAGGATTGCTTGTGTAGGACAAAGAAACCGGTACCGTTTTGTTCTCTTCCATGTTCAACTCCCAACATGATATTTCTCCAGTGTGTTTTTCATCAAAGTCCACCACAATCAGAATGGGGTTTTCAGAACATTCAAGACCTGCCAAAGCATGTTGACGATGCTCTTCATGTTTCCAGTGTGAGGAGGGCCCTGCCAAGAGAATACCACAACACTGCAGACCAATCGACTTGCAATGTCTCATGACTTGTTCATTTTCCAAAATGGCTGAAACACAACGGGCTGTGTCACTGATGAGGACCACGTTGGTGCAATGTAATTTGCCATTCCAGGCATGTTTGCCAAACAGAACTCCATACACAGACTGGTTTGAATATGCAATGTTTCGGTAGTTGGTCAATGACCCCTTGTGAATGCACACCGTGGACGAAGGCAAATCCACAGTAGATTCAATCTTGCTCCCCAAAAATTGTGCAGTCACATCCACAAATTCGCTTGGGGCTTTCAAGAGGGAAGATTCACAACCCAAATCTAGAGTTGGTTTGGAGGATGATGAACTGGCAGCTCCATGGTTTGAACTCATAAGTTCATCTACTGCCTTTTCCATCTCAACTTGTGGTTTTACCGTGGCTTTCACCTTTTTCAAACCAGCTTCAAGGATTCCATTGTTTTTTGACTCACACATTGAAAGAAGCCAGTCGTTGACATCCTTCAAAGTGTCGATTTTCTTGCTGATCACCTCCCCTGTACTTGTACTCACACTTGCTAAGTATGATTTGGGATCACCAGGGTGAAGCTCAACCTTTATATCCGAAGGCTTCAATGCCAAGGACATTGGTACCGCATTGAGGATATGTTGTTCAGCTTCTCGGCAATGACCCAAACAAAGGGCTGTAACCATACCATCTCTCTGTTGCTTCAAACTCCCCGTAGACTTGAACTTGTGACTGTCCATCCATATCTTTCGGGCCTGTGCCTAGCAAAGATTGTTGGTAGGTCCAACCCATATGATGGCAAATATATTATAAAATTTATGTACCATAATTTGGCTCCAATTTTGGGGGTGTATATACAATGACTGAGAAAATCCATTGCCACCATTCTTCCCATGTACAGTTTGTTTGTGACTGGGGGAATGCCACCACCATTCTTCCCGTGCATATATATATATATATTCACAATTTTAAATACATATATATATATATTGATATGCCCTATCTATTTGTCTCACCGGGCCTTCCCCTTCATGTTCTCAAAAGATTCTAGCATGGAGACACTCTTCTTCCGAAATGCAACCGCTGCTGCTTTTGCCCCATTCTCGGTCGGGAACTGGTTCTTCAGGAACTTTCGACTCAAATTGCCCTCCACATTTGCCAAATACCTCAGGAAGACTTTATGAATATATATATATATATTGAAATCTTGAAAGTCTTTTCTAGAATCAGGAGTGGAGGAAATAGTACCTTGCATTATATATCACTTAGAACACCTGGAATACCAATATATGCCCTAGCTTGCAGAACCTTTGCCAGCAAAAGTTCAGCTTGGATATTGTTTCATTCGATGTTTGACCAAGTACATTCAAATGCTAAACACTGTTCTGGTGGTGAATGATCTTGACTGCTTGAAGGTTTTTCTGTTGTAAGATTCTCTGAACCTAGAAGCCTGTGGAGGAGATAATACCTTGCATGGAACATCACTTAGAACACCTGGACAACCAAGATATGCCCTGGCCTGCGGAACCTTTGCCAACAAAGTTCATCTTGGATACTGTTTTATTGGATGTTTGATCAAATACATTCAAATTCTTAAAGCTTTTTGGATGGAGAATGATTGTGAATGATCTTGAATTTGATTATATATCTTATTTTTGGAGAGGAGACAATACCTTGCATAACACATCACTTAGAAGACCTGGACAACCAAGATGTGCCCTGGCCTGCGGAACCTTAGCCAACAAAAAATCATCTTGGATACTGTTTCGTTTGATGATTGAACAAATTCATTCAAATGGTAAACCTTATTTGTGTGCTGAATGATCGTGAATGATCTTGGATTTGATTGTTTTATTTTTTGGGGAGGAGACAATACCTTGCATGGCACATCACTTAGAACACCTGGACAATGGAGATATCGCCTAGTATGCGGAACCTTTGCCAACAAAAGTTCATCTTGGATATTGTTTTATATATTGGATGTTTGCTCAAATACATTCAAATTCTTAAAGCTATTTGGATGGAGAATGATTGTGAATGATCTTGGATTTGATTATCTTATTTTTGGAGAGGAGACAGTACCTTGCATAACACATCACTTAGAACACTTGGACAACCAAGATATGCCCTGGCCTGCGGAACCTTTGCCAACAAAAGTTCATCTTGGATACTGTTTCGTTTGATGATTGAACAAATTCATTCAAATGGTAAACCTTATTGGTGTACTGAATGATCGTGAATGATCTTGGATTTGATTATCTTATTTTTGGAGAGGAGACAATACCTTGCATGGCACATCACTTAGAACACCCGGACAACCAAGATATGCCCTGGCCTGTGGAACCTTTGCCAACAAAAGTTCATCTTGGATACTGTGTTTATTGGATGTTTGATCAAATATATACATTCAAATTCTTAAAGCTTTTTGGATGGAGAATGATTGTGAATGATCTTGGATTTGATTGTTTTATTTCTTGGGGAGGAGACAATACCTTGCATAACACATCACTTAGAACACTTGGACAACCAAGATATGCCCTGGCCTGCGGAACCTTTTCCAACAAAAGTTCATCTTGGATATTGTTTCGTTTGATGATTGAACAAATTCATTCAAATGGTAAACCATATTGGTGTACTGAATGATCGTGAATGATCTTGGATTTGATTGTTTTATTTCTTGGGGAGGAGACAATACCTTGCATAACACATCACTTAGAACACTTGGACAACCAAGATATGCCCTGGCCTGCGGAACCTTTTCCAACAAAAGTTCATCTTGGATATTGTTTCGTTTGATGATTGAACAAATTCATTCAAATGGTAAACCATATTGGTGTACTGAATGATCGTGAATGATCTTGGATTTGATTATCTTACTTTTGGAGAGGAGACAATATCTTGCATAACACATCACTTAGAACACTTGGACAACCAAGATATTCCCTGGCCTGCGGAACCTTTGCCAACAAAAATTCATCTTGGATACTGTTTCGTTCGATGATTGAACAAATTCATTCAAATGGTAAACCTTATTGGTGTACTGAATGATCGTGAATGATCTTGGATTTGATTATCTTATTTTTGGAGAGGAGACAATACCTTGCATGGCACATCACTTAGAACACCTGGACATCCGAGAAATGCGCTAGCCTGCGGAACCTTAGCCAACAAAAATTCATCTTGGATACTGTTTCGTTTGATGATTGAACAAATTCATTCAAATGGTAAACCTTATTGGTGTACTGAATGATCGTGAATGATCTTGGATTTGATTATCTTATTTTTGGAGAGGAGACAATACCTTGCATGGCACATCACTTAGAACACTTGGGCAACCAAGATATGCCCTGGCCTGCGGAACCTTAGCCAACAAAAGTTCATCTTGGATACTGCTTCGTTTGATAATTGAACAAATTCATTCAAATGGTAAACCTTATTGGTGTACTGAATGATTGTAAATGATCTTGGATTTGATTATGTTATTTTTGGAGAGGAGACAATACCTTGCATGGCACATCACTTAGAACACCTGGACATCCGAGAAATGCGCTAGCCTGCGGAACCTTAGCCAACAAAAATTCATCTTGGATATTGTATTGCTCGATGTTTGACTAAACACATTCAATCTATTATTATTGTTATATTAAGTTGTTCCGGCAGTGAATGATCTTAACTGGTCTTGAAGGTTTTTTTTGTTGTGAGATTCTGGGAATCTAGAAATCAGTGGAGGAGATAATGCCTTGCAAGGAACATCACTTAGAACACCTGGACAACCGAGATATTCCCTAGCCTGCGGACCCTTTGCCAACAAAAGTTTATGTGTATATATATATATACATATATATATATATAGATAAAAATAAATTTATCTATATATATATATATACATTGAATGGTCTTGAATTACATATATATATGTATATATGTGTGTATATATATATATATACATATGCAGAACTGCTTGGAAATGTTCTTTTTCGCACAGAAAGCCTTATGCACCAGTGCGTTTCCAAGCAACCCGTACGCAAATGCTTTGATTCCGTCTGGAAGCTGGTCATCCGCTCCAGCCGCCATGTGGGATAGTGGTGATGGAATTGCGATATCTACTAAGCTGATATCTGCAGCATGACGATGATGAATCAGATATTTACCAAATCCATATTAATATACCATGGCTACAATAATTATTTCAATTAAGATTGGTCCAGGAGAAAAAAAAACAACATATCGAGATTTCCTAAAATGATGGGGAACCCACATCATCCCGAATTGGACCATTTTAGTGTTGAGCACATTTGAAAACTATGATTTTGGGGATCCCCTAGTTCAGAAAATCCAATCCGCCGACCCTGGCCGGTAGCAAGAGGGATATGATTATATGTATATATATATATATATATATTGGTTCGTCAAGAAAGGATTTCCCATAATTGCATCAAATACAATTGGCTTAAAACCTAATAATCGCATTGAAGTGATATATAACCACCATTCCCAAAAGATATTTCCAATTGGATAATTTTCGGTATAGCTCTATTTGAGATGATGTGAAATGACCTCCACATGTGGCCCAAATGATTATTTAATGGGATGGTTTATTTTTGGGATTATCATATTGATTATCTATGTATCCATGGACCCCCTGCGGAAGGTTGTACCAATCCTTTACATAATTGAAATTACGGACATACACTTAGAACACATAAATTACCCCAAAGTGTTCTAAATACCTTTTAGAACATGTTCTAAGTGTATGTTTTTTTTTGGTGTTCTAAGTGTATACTTAGAACACATTCCCCTGCGGAAGTTTCCACCATGCGTTTTCCAAATGGTGTTCTAA